AGAAAGAAAAAAAGAATGAAAAAAGGTCTTGCATATGTTTTTAGTCAGCAACACGTTTTGAGATGTGACAGTTCTGTCAAAACAATATAATTCAACAAACTTCAAAGTAACCACAACAGAAGATATGTAGACACATTTTGGAGCGCTGTCTCAGAGCCTTACCATGAAATGTGCCAAAAACATTTTGAAGGACGAACATTGAGATCAGCAAGGGAAGCACGGTAAGGCTCACTCAGGTGTGTGAGAATCGGAACCGAGATCCAGAAGAAAACCAGCTTAGAAATAGAGGCAGAGCATTAAAGAGAAGGCAAAAGAGAATTTCAATTTTCTAGTGCTGGAAGCTGTTAGTGCCCATGTTTGAAGAAGGCAAGTTCTGCAATGCCTTCACTTGTATTCGTCTAGGCAGGTGTGAACTACAGTGTCCCTGTCTTCAGGGAGCTTACATTTTAGAGGAAGGGAGACAGAAAATCCACACGCAAGGAATTGAACAAACAAGATACTTTCAGAAAGCAAAATGCACTGGGGAGAAAATCAAACAGTGTCCTGAGATGGCAGTAGATAGAAATTAAGAGCAATGGGGAAGAAGAGAAGAGGGAGAGAGGAGAGAAGCTATCAATGAAAGCAGTGGTTAAATTATGGCTACATTAAAATAAACCATTGACAAAATTTAATTTTTTTTTTTTTAAATATACAGAATTGCTCTCTGTTGCCCAGGCTGGAATGCAGTGGTGCAGTTTCAGATCGCTGCAACCTCTGCCTCCTGGGTTCAAGTGATTCTCCTGCTTCAGCCTCCAGAGTAGCTGGGACTACAGGCATGTACAACCATGTCTGGCTATTTTTTTTTTTTTTTTTTTGAGATGAGGTCTCTCTCTGTCGCCCAGGTGGAGTGCAATGGCGCTATCTTGGCACAGTGCAGCCTCCGGCTCCTGGGTTCAGGCAATTCTCTGCCTCAGCCTCCTGCGTAACTGAGATTACAGATGCCCGCTGCCACACCTGGTTAATTTTTGTATTTTATGTAATTTTAGTAGAAAGAGTGTTCCACCATCTTGCCAGGCTGGTCTTGAACTCTTGACCTTGTGATCCACCCACCTTGGCCTCCCAAAGTGTGTGAGCCACCTTGCCTGGTCTTTTTTTTTTTTTTTTTTTTTTTGGCATTTTTAGTAGAGAAATGGTTTCGCATTGTTGGTCAGGCTGGTCTCGAACTCCTGACCTCAAATGATCCACCCACTTTGGCCTCACAACATGCCAGGATTACAGGTTTTTTTTGTTTTTCTTTTTGAAATTGAGGCAGAGTCTACGTTTAGCTAGTCATGAACTCCTGGGCTCAAGCAGTCCTCCTGCCTCAGCCTCTACCTGGGACTACAGACTCAGCCTCCCAAGTACCTAGGACTACAGACACACACAGCTAATTTTTTTTTTTTTTTTGAGACGGAGTTTCGCTCTTGTTACCCAGGCTGGAGTGCAATGGCGCGATCTCGGCTCACCGCAACCTCCGCCTCCTGGGTTCAGGCAATTCTCCTGCCTCAGCCTCCTGAGTAGCTGGGATTACAGGCACGCACCACCATGCCCAGCTGATTTTTTGTATTTTTAGTAGAGACGGGGTTTCACCATGTTGACCAGGATGGTCTTGATCTCTTGACCTCGTGATCTACCTGCCTCGGCCTCCCAAAGTGCTGGGATTACAGGCGTGAGCCACCGCGCCCGGCCACACACAGCTAATTTTAACTTTTATGCATACATAATGTTTGCACATACTTATGATGTAAGAGCGATATTTTGATACAGGCACACAATGTGTAATAATCAAATCAGGGTAATTAGCATATAATCACCTTGAACATTTGTTGTTTCTCTGTGTTGAGAACATTCCAAATCTCTTCCAGCGATTTTGAGATACATGATACATTATTGGCCGGGGCAGTTCCTCATGCCTGTAATCCCAGCACTTTGGAAAGCCAAGGTGAGAGAATTGCTTGAGCCCACAAGCTTCAGACCAGCCTGGGCAACATAGTGAGATTCCCATCTCTATATTAAAACACACACACACACACACACACACACACACACACACACACACAATTATTTTTAACTGTAGTAACCCTATTGTACTATTGAATATTAGATTTTTTTTGTTTTTTTTTTTCTTGTCTGAGCATTAGATCTTATTTCCTCTATCTAATTGTATTTTTGTACCCAATAACCAACCTCTCTTCATCTGCTGAATTTCTTCTCTGACTCTGGTATGGACTCTCTACCTCTATGAAATCCACTTTTTCTTAGCTGCCACATATGAGTGAGAATGTGCCCAGCTTACTTAACATAATATCCTCCAGTTCCATCCATGTGGCTGCAAAGGACAGGATTTCATTCTTTTTATGGCCAAATAATATTCCGCTGCATAAAATTCTGGATACATTTTGAAGACGGACCTGAGAAGACTTGTTGACAGATTGGATGTGGACTGTGAGAGAAACACAAGCCAAGGTGACCCCAAGATTTTTGGCCGGAGTAACCGCCCTCTATTGAGGTGGGGACGGCTCCACCTGGGGCCACCTGTGGGAGTTGGGTCTTGAAAATGTTGTTGGAAATGCCTGCTGGACACATACCTGAGCTTTTGCGTAGACAGGGAACACAGGTAACTGACACAAGCACCCTCCTGCCTTCGGGCTTACCTGTTGACCTGCTACAGGTGGGAGCTCCTCCCTTGAAGGGTGAGGAACAAAGGGAGTAACGTTCTAAACTTGTAAGCATAAGATTGCGTCGGGGTCCAAGGGAAGATGTGGAAACACACAGAACACGTGATCACCGGCTCGGAAGGGACTTGAGAGAAGACAGAGACAGTGGATGCGGCAGTCTGGACGGAGACCCTGAGGAACCCCAGGGAGGAAGAAGGAGGATGAGGGAAATCATCTGAATCACTGGATTCAACGCAGAGAGATGAGAAATCCCTGGAAATCATGGAGGGAATCGGAATGAGATGAGGTTAAGTCTTCTTTAAAGTGGCATCGAGGAGTCAGGATTGAAAGATGAATTTTCACTCACAAATGCAAAGAAAAGAAAAAATAATTATTATGCACTTGATTGCGAGCCTATATAATTTTTTTTTTCTTTCTGAGCACTTTGGGAGGCTGAGGCGGGCTTATCACCTGAAGTCAGGAGTTCAAGACAAGCCTGGCCAACATGGTGAAACCCCATTTCTACTAAAAATAGTGGTGGTGGGTGCCTGTCATCGCAGGTACTTGGGAGGCTGAAGCAGGAGAATCTCTTGAACCCAGGAATCGGAGGTTGTAGTGAGCCAACATTGTGCCACTGCACTCCAGCCTGAGTGACAGAGTGAGGCTATCTCAAAAAAAAAAAAAAAAAAAAAAAAATTGCAGGTTTTGGCTGTGGAGCATGCGCGTGCCCTGAGGTAGTGAGAACAAGGATGGGGTGGGGACACCGAGGGCATCCCAGCCACTGATCCACTGGTGCCCTAAGTGCAGCTCAGCTGCTGCTCCAGGGCTTCCTTGTCCACGGAAACTCTAGGCATGGTCAATATTTCTCCTTTGGGTGAGCCTCAAAGCTACCTGTCCTACCTGGCCACGCTGTATCTGAGACTGGGACCACCCCCTCCCACAGCCTGTCACCTACTTGATGGCGGCTTTCATTCCACTTTGCTCTTACCCCCTAATCCAAATTTTCTTTCCTTAGGATCTATGGCCCCAAGTGTTTCAACATTCCTCCTGTCCTGGCACCAGACCGATGGCATCCCAGTTTGCAGGTTAACATTCCTCTTCACCGGGGTGCCCCGAGCTGGACACACCCCTGAGCTGTAGTGAGATCACTGCGGAAATGAAGAGGCCATCGCCACAGAGCGGGAGTTGGCCAGTGACAGCTCCATAAGCTAAGAATAGGTTTACATTTTTAAACAATTGGAGGAAAACTGAAGTGAAGAATGCTTCATGACACGTGAAACTTAAATGAAATTAAAGTTTTCAGCATCCTCAATAAAGTTTTGAGGGCACATGGCCACACCCACTCCTTTACTTACTGTCCATGGCTGCTTTTGAATTTCAAAGACATTGCTGAGGTTGGTGGTGACTGAGCTCTTACTAGCCTGAAAAGCCTAAATACTTACTCTCTGGTCCCTTGGGAATATACTGGCCAATCCCAGACACAGAGTGATCCTAGATTTCTCTCGCTTATTCAGTTTAAGAAATTGATCTTAATATTTATCTTGAAAGGCAAATGCAATCACATGATTCAAAATGTTAAAGACACAAAAAGATCCCTTCCCTTGGCCACGCAGTTCCCCTCTGTGAGGGCGTCCAGTGTTCCCAGCTCATACAGGTCCTTCTAGATACACTGTGTGCAAATGTGATCAAATACCTGGACATCTTATCTCATTCTTGTTTACACAGGGAAGCATCCAATAGGATTGTTCTGAGCTGTGTCTTTTTATTGATTTATTTTTTTGAGACGGAGTCTCACTCTATGACTCAGGCTGGAGTGCAGTGGCACGATCCCGGCTCACTGCAACCTCCACCTCCCGGGTTTAAGAGATTCTCTTGCCTCTCGAATAGCTGGGATTATAGGCGTGCATCATCATGCTCAGCTAATTTTTGTATTTTCAATAGAGACGGGGTTTCACCAGGTTGGCCAGGCTGGTTTTGCCTTGGCCTCTCAAAGTGCTGGAATTACAGGTGTGAGCCGCTGCATCTGGACCCCTTTTTTCTCCCTTACATCTAACAGTGTATTTTGAAGATGATTACACAAGAGTTAATGCAGACCCTCTTTATTCTTTCTTACAGCTGCAGTGTATTCCATTGTACCCATGTAACTCCTTATAGTACACATTTAATCCATATTTAATTTATTCCCAGCTGAAATTTTAGGTTCTTGTCAATTTTTATTTTTGCTAATACAAAGAGTCTTTTAATATTGTATATGTATCGTTTCACAAGTGGACAACTGTGTATGTAAGATGAGTTCCTGGAAGGGGGAATCCTCGTTCAATGAGTATATATTACTTGCTTTTTTTATTTTTTCATTTATTTTTAAACACAGGGGCCATGCTAATCTTGTCTATATTGTTCCAATTTTAGTATATGTGCTGCTGAAGCAAGCATGCTATCTGCTTTTTAGATTTATTTTTATTTATTTATTTTTGAGACACAGTTTCACTGTTGTCACCCAGGCTGGAGTGCAGTAAAGCGACCTCAGCTCACCGCAACCTCTGTCTCCCGGGTTCAAGTGATTCTCTTGCCTCAGTCTCCTGAGTAGCTGGGATTATGGGCGACTGCCACTATGCCCAGCTAATTTTTGTATTTTTAATAGAAACAGGATTTCACTATGTTGGCCAGGCTGGTCTCAAACTCCTGATCTCAGGTGATCTGCCCACCTTGTAAGCCATGGCCAACCTCCATCTGCTTTTGGAGAAAGCAAGCCTTGGACACAGGATTATAATTTAAAGGGCCTGTAGGATCATGAAACTTATGTTTCCAAAGGTTTATACCAGGAGCAATATTCGCGCTTACTTTATTCACAAAATAGACAAGGCATGAGTTACTAACAGTTTTTTTGGGGGAGCCATTTTCTAGGTGAATTGGACACATCTCAGAATATTATCATAAAATGAAAAACATAGAAGAAAATATAGCTTTGAGAGCAGGTGTGGTGGCTCATGACTATAATCCCAGCACTTTGGCAGGTCAAGGAGGGAGGATTGCTTGACGTCAGGAGCTCAAGACCAGCCTGGGCAACACAGCAAGAGACCCCCATCTCTACAATTTTTAATTAAGTGGATATGGTGGTGCAAGCCTGCAGTCCTGTGGTCCTAGCTACTCAGGAGGCCAAGGTGGGAGGATCATTTGGGTCCAGGAGGTGGAGGCTGCAGAGAGCCGTGATCATGCCACTGCACTTCACACTGGGTGACAGAGCTGGAGTCATCCGCCTCAGTCAGGAAACGGACGACCAGAGAGACCACAAGACTCAGCGAGCTTACCCAGCTCCACGTGTGGGAGCAGAGACCTGAAGCTACAGCTCCCAGCTGCAGAGCACACCCTGGGGAATGCCATGTTGCCCTCACTATCTCAGGACCAGCTTGGGGCTCCCCAAGAAGCAAAACAAAACCTTTCCAAAGGTAAAGCCGGAAAGACAATAGCTGATTGAAGGGTTTCCGTGGAAAACACCTCACTGGTTTAGACCAAGTCCCTTCGGGGGACTGGACTGGGAGTAAGCAGAGGCCATGCTTCCTGCCTAGCTTGGCAGGAGTGAGGGGCTGCTGGATGCCCCTGGGTTGCTGGCTCCGGAGAGGGAACCGGTAGTGCCAGAGGGTGATTTACGGGGAGAAGCCCCCACCTCCGCCCTGGCACAACCACCTGCCTGCTTTCTGCTCGGCTTTCCCCAAAGGCCTGCTGGGGGCTCGCTGCGCAGCTGCAAACAAAAAAGCCCTCTTTGTAGAACCTCTGCGAGGAAGCTCATGAGGAAACAGCTCCTCCCCGAAGCCACATTCGCATTCAGGCTGTCTTCTGAGTCCCTGCTGGGTGCCAGGCGGGCGACGATGGTGAGCTGTGGACCCAGGTACTATTTGTTTCCAGGACAGGCCGAATGTTTCAGTCTTTGTCATGCTGAGTTGGATTTAATTGCATTGCACTGGGTTATTGGAAGACCTACAGCATGCCTGCCACTGTGCAGTGTCTGGCATTGAGGAAAAATGGTTGTATTAGTATATAAGTTACTTGTTATAAGGAATTTATAGGTCATATATTGGTACATAAGTTATGTACAGAACGTAAGTTTCCCATAGGGAGCTTACATTCTCCCGATGAAAGGAGTACATTGTCCATATACTTTTTTTTTTTTTTTTTTTTTTTGGGTGACAGAGAGAGACCTGTCACCCACGCTGGAGGCTCTGATCTTGGTTCATGGTAATCTCTGCCTCTCGGGTTCAATTGATTCTCGTGCCTTAGCCTCCCAGGTAGCTGGGATTACAGGCATGTATCACCACGCCCAGCTAATTTTTTTTTTTACATTTTAGTAGAGATGGGGTTTCACCATGTTGGCCAGGCTGGTCTCAAACTCCTGGCCTCAAGTGATCTGCCCACCTCAGCCTCCCAAAGTGCTGGGATTACAGGTGTGAGCCACTGCACCCATCCTGTTCATATACTTTGACGAGAGCATCAAAGCACGGGCGCCTGGACCATTTAGCAGCTGTGCGAATTTAGTCAAATTACGTACTTCTCCAAACCTTAGTTTCTTGATCTCTAAAATGGGTAGAGCAATGGGCCTTCTGTTGAAATGATTAAATGCTTTGAACAATGAATAGCACCTGACAAAGCACCTGCTGCATAATAGGCCTCAATATATGTTCGCGTCAGTGGATCATCAGTTAAATAGGAATAATAAGAGTCTATTTAGTGCGACATAGATCTCACCCAAGCACCACAGGTTTTGTAAAAGGCTTACACCAGTGCCTGGGAGGTGGGCTTATCTATTAGGGAACTGGAGGCAGCAGTGATGTGGTAACTTCGTTCTATTTGAGCCCAGCTAAAACAGATGTCTTCTCAAGGTCTCTGTGTCCCAACCTGTGAAATGGGCATGACTGTAACTTTGCCTCTTGGCCTGTAGTGAGGATGAAAATAGGCAACGTCTGTGATTGGAACAGCTTGTCCTGCACCAAGGTCTGGTGGTCTTTGTGACTGGCCTGGAAATCTGTTGTCACCATTCATTTATTTTAAACAGCTCAGCCTAATAAACCAACAGGCTCATGAGACACGATGTTGGAGCAGAGAAAATGTACTTTAAGGAAATCTTAGAAGGCTGCTCAGGTTGGGGTCCCAGCCTGGCCCTGACCCTCTGGGTCAGTAAGTGGGGGTCACTTACACCCTTGGGTCTCAGTTTACCAGCTGCATAATGGGCGTCAGACTGAAGCATTGGTTTACATCCAGGGTGGTCAACAGACTCATGTGGGGAGCTTTTAACATGTGCCAGGCCCCAGCCTGGGGATTCTGAAGCTCTGGCTGGGGGTACCGGGAATTTGTATCTCAAGGAAGGGTTCCCAGGATTCTGATGCCCACAATAGCCCAAGGTCTCTAGGGTCCCGTTCACTTTTCGATCCAGCAGTTCAGGGAAGTCTTGAAAACGCTCTGTGCTTGGACTCCAGTGACTTGGGTCTCACGTGGTTGGCATGTTCCTGTGAAGCGGGGAAGGGGAAGGGTAATGATTTCTGCTCTTCCGGTGGAGGGGAAGAGAAGGAGAAAGGCGGACTCACCTGGCCTTCCTGGGTCGTCTCCATGTTGAAAGTCTGAGAGAAGCTCTTTCGACTGGGCAGGCAGCAGAGGGGAGCTTTGTGTCCTCCCAAGACCGTCTGTTCAATAAGGAGGAGCCCCAGGTCCTGGAAAGTTGATTATTCTCGCTTGTTAGTTCATCGTTGTTCATAATTGCATTAAGCAGAAATAAAAACCAGCCTCATGCTTGGGAAACCTAACATAAAAATGTACCTTACTGAGAACCCAAAAATACTAGTAGTGGATGAATAAGTTATGGGAATTACTTTCTGAATATGAAACTTTATGATTTTTGCATTTAGCCACTTTAAATTTTTTTTTTTTTGGGACGGAGTTTCGCTATTGTTACCCAGGCTGGAGTGCAATGGCGCGATCTCGGCTCACCACAACCTCCGCCTCCCGGGTTCAGGCAATTCTCCTGCCTCAGCCTCCTGAGTCGCTGGGACTACAGGCACGCGCCACCATGCCCAGCTAATTTTTTGTATTTTTAGTAGAGATGGGGTTTCACCATTTTGACCAGGATGGTCTCGATCTCTTGACCTCGTGATCCACCCGCCTCGGACTCCCAAAGTGCTGGGATTACAGGTGTGAGCCACCACGCCCGGCCCTTAAATTATTTTTAAAAATACGCTTGAGTATAAATGAATTAGATATATATACACACACATATAGATTATCAATCAATCAATCAGTCATGTGATTTAGAGTCAGACAGACCTACGATTAAGTCTTCACTTTGCCACTAACTAGCCGAGTGGTCTTGGGCAAGTTACTTAACCTTTCTGTGTCTTAGTTGTCATAAATTTAAAATTGAGAAAATAAAATCAATTTCAGAGGACTGCTGGGGCAGATTGTATTTCCCAATGATGGCTGCCATACTATCTCCCCTCCTACATGTTCTTCATATAATGTGACCTTGACAGTCCCGCCATAAAGAGGTGGGGTCCACGTCCCCTCCTCTTGAATGTGGCCCTGGTTGTGGTATGGCAGAGTGATGCTGAGTGACTTCTGAGGCTAGATCATAAAAAGGCCATGTGCTTTCTCCTGGGATGCTCACTCCTGGACCCCAGCTGCCACGTTATGAGGAAGCCCAAGCCAACATGTGTTGAGAGACCTCAGGGAGTGACAGCCCCACTGCAGTTCCCAGCTGAAAGCCAGCATCAACATCACACCTGTGAATAAAGATACCTGTAGGCGATCCTGGTCCCTAGCCCTCAGTTGCCCCAGCCATGGCATTGCCAGGCTGAAGCCCCAGGCACTGTGGAACAGAGATGAGCTCTCCCTACTCTGCTGGACAAAAATTCCCGACCCATAGAATCTGTGAGCATAAGAAAATGTTGGGAGTTTTTTGGCTATGAAATTTGGGGTCATTTACTGCATAATGATAGCAACTGGAATGATTACTATGATAAGAGAGATAATGTATGTGATGTGCCTAATTGTCACACATTTGTCAACTATTAGGCACATAACGTCTACTGTTAAAGCGGGCGATGTTGACATAAACAAGTAGGCAAAAATGTAATAGGAATGTAGAAAGTTTCAATAACATCAGCCATAAACTGGACTGAAGGGACATTTATGGATTCTGTACTCGACAGTTAGCAAAGACACATCCTCATCGATACTCGGGAAACAGTTATAAAACCAGACCATTACCAAGCCATAAAACGAGCCTCAGTGAACCCCAAATTACTCATATCATAGGTCATTCTGTCATTCCACAAATCGATCTTGAGGCTTGGTATGGTCCAGGCACCCAAGGGATAGCAAAGAGCCAAAAAGATCAAGGTCTCTGCCTCCTGCCATCTTCATTCTAGAGGGAGACAGAAGACAAGCAG